GAAGAAGAAGAAGAAGAAGAAGAAGAAGAAGAAGAAGAAGAAGAAGAAGAAGAAGAAGAAGAAGAAGAAGAAGAAGAAGAAGAAGAAGATGCTTAAATTTGTGGCATCAGAACTAACCACTGTCCAAACATGCCACAATTCTATCAAAGTTGATGGTGCTATTTAGTACCTTTATTACCTCTATAAACATAAATAAAACATATACCTAAAGCATCATTAGACTATAGTCCCATCTTTTGCATGAAGTTGTTTTTTTGATAGTTAATCGAAAACAGAGCTTTCCTTATATAAATGTATTTTAAGCCAAGGCTTATGCAGACAGTATTGAACACACTATGTAACACTTTTTTTTAGTTTTTAGTTTTGTTTTTTTTTTTGTTTTTTGTTTTTTGTTTTTTTTTTTGCTTTTGCTGTTTGATGAGGTGTAATCAATTCATAACAAGTCCTTCATCAAGTAAATATTTGTTTCCAGTGAACTAAGTTTTCACATTTTTAGGCATTATTATTTATTTTAAAAAATAAATGTCATATAGATTTTTTTTATGTAAGGCTAGCAGAATCTCAAGAAAACAACTGCCCAAAACCAGAAATTAAACATTAGTTTTATTTGAAAGAATTTATTACTCATGTGTTAAACTTTGATAACATTTTAATTTACTAAGAACCAAACATGAAGAAGATTTAAAGCAGAGAAAAATGTTTACATATTCCCCTCTGGTTTGTGTTTCATAGCAGAGAATGTGCTCTAATTTGGATTTTTTTTAACTCATTTGTTTAAATACAATAAAATTCTATTGTTTTTAAATCCCAAAGTAGAAATGCGAGCTTCGGATGCTAACGCTGCTGCATTTTAATCCAGGGGGCTGAAGTACAGTAAATAAATCAGCATGGCAACATCTCAGAGCCAAAGCCATTCATGTTCTCTCAAACAGCTTGGCGGTGAGAGGAATTAGATCTAAATCTGCTCAGGAAACTGAGAAGGGCTGCAGGGTTGTAATGACTGCCAATAATAACTTTTACATTTGACCCTGTAGTATATTTAACTGATAAAGCTCAAAAGCATTCATTAGGATGTTAGGATGCAGCACTGGCTACAATAGTGGTTTTCACAAACTGTGTAAACCAGACGGTGGCATCAATGTGCTCCTATCAACCTCCACAACTGCTGCCAGAGACTCAGCTCTCAGTTTCCTCACAGAACTAAATCTAACTGAATTATCTCCAGAACATGACCTCCTTTTAAAGTTATTTAGCCTGTTTGTCTTTTATACAAAACTTAAAAAACGTCCGTTTTTATTAAGAGTTGTGTTGTGTAAATTGAATATGTATATTTGAAACCTCCTCTTGGATAATTAAAACCCACTTACAGAGTATACTGTAATTCCCCAAGGAACCCTGTCATTTATTTATTGAAACACAACAAGCTTAACAAAGATACAATGAATTATTGATAAAGGTAAGCCAGTTTATTAACTGTAGATCAAGGCATTAGGAGGAAAATATATCAAATAAAACAAACAAACAATTAAATGTTTAGTATGACTGAAATATTATGTTTTATGATTATATTATCTTGTATGAGCAATAACTGAGCATCAACCTTCCCTTCTACAAATGTACAGTTTACTATTGACTGTTTTAGCCTGTATGCTCATGGGCATTATTTAGAAAATCCATAACATTCTCATTACAGGCTTTTCCATATTGACTGTTTCCAAGTCTCGGTCCATTCCCTTTAAGCCGCCCGTCCCTAAAAGCTCAGCTTGCTCTGATTGGTCATGTGAGAAATTGGTAGGAAAAGATTTGTGTCATCATGGAAAATTAACATCTGATGACCCATCTTCATTCTGTCATGTAGTTTTAGATTAGCTCATTCTGTCTCTTCAATAAAACAATTAATACTTTAAATTGACACAACAGTGATGGGACTTATCATCAGCGGTAAGGAAACATCTTACAGAGCTGAGATGGAACAGTTAATAAGCTCGTGTGGAGACAACAGTTTGTCTCAACGTCAGCAAAACTAAAAAAAAGAATGTGAAGCGACATGTTGAGAGTTTTAAGTTAAAAAAAAGAAAAGTTAGATTTTCCACAGAAAATCTGCTCAGAATATAATTCAATGCTTTGTCATACCTCATACCCACATAGGTCACTCTGAACAGGTCCAGCTGCTTCCAGGTAACCTTCAAGTAAAACAACTGAAACTTAATCACACAATATACTGCTGCGTGACACCTTCATATCTAACTGACACGGTATGGTGAAACCAGCCACAATACCTGATCCAGCCCACTGTCCTTAGTTATCCCATCAATAAAATCTTTTGGACAGTTATTCTGAAACTAAAGCATGGAATGAACTCCTGAAGCGTATACAGTCAATACATTGTATAAAGGCTTTTATATCTAAGGTCAAAGGTTTTCTACTGAACTGTTTTTGCGAAGAAGACTTGAATCCTTTCATTAAGCCGTAAGAACTACAAAAGTTCAGTTTTATTCTTGTTACATCAGTTTAATGTACTGTTTTTTGATATTTATTGTGTTCTTTTCCTTTAAACTTTGTTTTTTATCCCAGTGTTTTTCTGATTTTTGTATTTGACCAAAATGGAAATAAGTGTTCTCCCTTCCTTGTGTTACCCAAGTGCTAATAATGAATGTAGTGCGTGTGTATGCAATAGTATTGCTAAATCAATCAATCAATCAATCTACTTTCAGTTTTTACTTTTGATTGGGGTGGATGGATGTACAGTATAATGTACAACCAGCATGGTTTTAGTTTGTTCACCAATCCAGAAAGCTCTTACTAAGAGAGAGAATGGACACTAAGTTAAACACATGTCAACGTGACTCAGGTTGCATTTTCACAAAGATGTGTGTAACAGATGCTGCCTCTCTAAGCCTTTGAGATTGAGGTTCGGGGGAAGTTTAAATTAAGATACTGAGCTGATGGTTAGCAAAGATAAGCCTTTAAATGAGGGTAGCATTTAAATATTTCTCCACTGCTATTTGTGTCGTTCAATTATTCATGCAGGCGCTCTCCAAAATGACGGGCCTTGGGTTCAGGAGATCTTTTAAAAAATACTCCAAATATCCAATTAGTGTTGCGACGGATGTACAAGTCGGGCAGGCGAGTCCCTCCGGCAAGAATTGAAATGCTGTTTTGATTTTCCATGACAGGCTGTTTCACATCCAAGAGTCAAATTAATCTCTGGAAAACTGATAACAGCTCATCAAACTCATTTCAAAGGCTCTTTGTGAGGACATGTCCAATTGGCATTGAAGGTTCTAAATGATGAGATGAGAAAATTACTGTCAATTAACATGTGAAAATGAACTTATATGGCACATCTTCCAGTGTGTCTCTGCACCAGAACCAGTGTGTTATATGGTGCTGTAACCTGGTGGGCAATTTAATGCTTGGAGAGGTAAAATAAGGGGGGCAAAAGATGGTGTTTAAGCTCACTGGGCTGACATTGCACGGTGGATGTAAAAGTGCCACCGTTAGTGACTGCAGCAGATGGAGCGAGGGGCTCGAGGGGGGTACCTTCAGGCTCCTGGGCACAGTGATAGGAGCAGTCACGCATAAACTATGTGTCCAGTGAATGGACGCACTGAGATGCCCTGAAGGCTGATAAGAAGCAGCACAAGGTAGTGCTCCACATGCTAGAGAAGTCTTGTAATTATCTCACCCTTGTAGCTTCATTCTGCTCCCCCATCACCTCACTGGAAAGGGGACATAATATAAAAGTAATAATAGGAACAAAATTCAGGGAATTTTTTTTAAGTGTATCTTTTTAAAACATGAGCAGAGCATGTTTGATTGCATAGTGAACATTATCAAACAATACAAGTTGGAAACAGGTTCATTTGGTTCTGGAGCAATTTTTACTGTATTACTGGCTGCCACTGCAAGGCAAAAGTGGAGCAATAATGTTTTTGCCTATAAAAAGTGTTTGTCTGTCTGTATGGTTAGTAAAATATCTCATAAACCACTAGATGAATTTGAATGAAATGCTCGGAAATTAAACACTGGATAAACACCTACAACGGAATTACTTTGTTTTTTCAAAATGGTTGTCATTGCTAATGGACCTTAACAAACACAAAAACAACTTTGACTCAGCCAAAACTTCAGTTCATTGCTATTGTTTACTTTGGCCATCTGCACGCATGTGTTCTGATGTGTGGCAATATAAAGTGGGTTGGGGTTTTCTTTATGTCAATTGGATTACCCAAACTCATTCATTTTACAGTTCTAGTGCTTGTTTAGAGAGTATGCTCTGCATGTGTTATAGCTTCAACCTGACGACTTGCAGTAGTATAAAAGTGAACTTGTGTGACAGCCTGCAGGACCCGTAACTTGTGAAGACCGGCTGGACAGTTGATTTGCTAAATGCTAACCGGAAGCACGTCATCACATTTTCACTCATTCTATTACTGAAGCTCAAATTTGGTGTGGTAGTAGCTGAGACTCATCCTAAATACATATTTTAAGCTCTAACTGGACAAGATCTGCTTACTCAACTTTACTATCAACTCACTCTCTCACTATCATCCCTGTTTGTTTCTTAGCAAAGTATCTCACAATGCATTAGATTGATGTTAATGAACCGTCAAGAAAGTAATGATCAGATGTAACAAAGATTGGAGTTAACTAAGTTCACCATGGCTGCCAACTAATCAACCATTAGTCAACACAAAAATGGTGATAATTTAATCAAAGGGTAAAGTTTATGTGGTAGTAGCTCCAAGAATTAGCACATCTTGTGAGAAGTGGCAGCCATCTTGAATTAAAATGTCCATTCATTCAATTAATGCTATGTCTTTCATTGCAGCTGTGATTAAT